AAAAAAAAAAAAAAAAAAAAAAAAAAAAAAAAAAAAAAAAAAAAAACCGGGGGGGGGGGGGGGGAAAGGGAGGAGGGAGGGAGGTTTCGGTGATGGGCCATAATAACCAACTACATTGTATATTGACAAAATAAAAATTAAAAAAAAAAAAAAAGGAAATATCTAAATTTCATTCCTTTGGCTCCGAAACAAATATTTCTCAGAGTTGTCAGTTTCTTTATTTTTCTAAAACCTTAGAGGGTAGGCATATTCTTATTAATACTATGGTAATAGGGTTAAATACTGAAATCATGAGCTGTGGATTGACCATGCTGACATTAATTGAAGTGAAGGAAGAAGGAATAGCTTTAATAAATTTCATTATTCATGTAGCAGTGAATTCTTGAATTTAGCTATGAATATTAGCTATAATTGATAATGGTTTGATTATTTAGGCAGTTTGTTATTCATGAAATTTAAAATCAGAAGGGACCTTAAACATCTTTTTGTCTCACCTCCTCATTTTACACTCAACTTTATTCATTTCTTGTAAACCTACTATGTGCAAGGTAGGAGGGAACAATAGAGTTGTAACCCATGCCTTCAAACAAATGAATCTTTGATTAGTCTTTGATTTCCTTTTCTGTTATTATTTGAGGGGCACCTTTTAAAGGGAGATAAGTGGATTTTGCTAATTGTAATACCTTGTCAGTATAAGGTATTAGGATTTAATGTATTTTGTGAACTCTGAATACACATAAAAGCATATGGTAGATGTCTTTGTACTTTAAGTGAATGCTAGATTGTGCTTGTATTCTGTCCCCAAACAGAATTCTGGTCTTTTCTTGTACAAGGCACCCAACATTGCTGATATTAATGAGTCTCCCCTTGATACTCAAGTTTTTCCCACTTTTCTTATGGAACTGTTAGGTTTGTTTCTCCCATTCATTTGGCATTTTCTGGATATTGACCTATAGAGTTTCACTTAAAAAATGGAATTTGTTTATATTTTTATTCAATAAATCATTGTTACTAAATATTTATTTACTGGACTTATGATTGAAAACATAAGAAACAGTGTGCATACTCAAGAAAGGTCATAGTGCAGAGAACCTATTCTTTTAATAATAAAAATGGCTGGCTGGCATATGAGGATTTAGGATGTGTCAATCACTGTACTAATCATTTAATCCTCACAGTAACACTAGGTAGGTCATTATTATATCCACTTTACTGTTAAGGTGTAACTGGGTTAGTAGCTTGCCCAAGGTCACAGAGCTAATAAGTGGTGGGGCTGGGATTCAACTCAGGCCATTTTAACCTCCAACCCTAGGCTCCTAACTAATGATACTTTATTGCTTATGACCTGTGTCATTGTGGGACTTGCAAAATTGTTTGCAAAAAATGTTTTTACTAAATATTGAGTGTATACAAAAGCATATTGACAAAGTAAATGTAAGTTTTAAAGAATAAGGATTCAGTGAGCACTCATTGAACTCCACCCAGATTTTTAAATGACCTCAAACTTGTATGTATCCCTCCCTGATCTTGTCACTTTTCTTCCCACCTCAGAAGTAATTATAGAAAAATGATGTTTTAAAATATTTTTAATAAAAGTGCACAACAGTGCACCCTGGTCAGATCATTATTTTGTTTGCCTTCCTTTTTCTCTTTATTCCCTCCTCTGTCATCTCTCTTCCCTCTTTTCTGTCACCATTGTGAAGCACAACGAACTAAGTCAAACCTGCTTTAATAGGTTGCAGAGAGCGTTTTTTGCTGTGATGCCCAGGCCTAAGTGCCGTGACTAGTGGTGGAGATTCTTGGTGAGGTGACAGTTTTTTTGCTTCACTCAAATGATCCATCCCCTTCCATGTAAGGCATGCTGTCAAGGGGTTGTAACAGACTCCCTGAGAGGGGCGATTGAATATGACTGTATGACATCTCTCATGAGCTTGTCAGGTTACAATTCACAAATGTTAACTCTATAGACACGTGGTTCTTAATAGTGTGACTTAAAATAGAGATACATTTTTGGTAACCAGTGTGAGGGCACTTCCCAACACAATCAAAAGCCATTAAGTGGAACATGTTAAGATAATATAAACTTGTTGTCCTTTAATACTTCAATGCAGTCTTTTGGCAAGTAGTGATACTTGGTACAGTGTGCACAAAAATCAAAATGGGTTCTAGCCTGGTGGAAATAATAGAATTCTTTAATCAGTTGGAAAAAATATTCAAATAATTCACAACATTTTTTTTAATGACTGAAGAGGTTTTTTTTTTTTCTTTTTCCTTTTTGAGACCAGCCGCACCGCACTCAGCCAGTGAGCGCAGTGAGCACACCGGCCATCCCTATATAGGATCCAAACTTGCGGCGGGAGCGCTGCTGCGCTCCCAGCGCCGCACTCTCCCAAGTGAGCCACGGGCTCAGCCCACTGAAGAGGTTTTTGGTTTTGTTTTTTTTTTTTTTGTTTTGGTTGCAAATTGCACTCTGTTGCATGAAAGTTTTTCCAAGAACCAC